ACATACATACCTACAGGTAAAATTCTGTATTGGAACGTATTTGATAATGAAATTTCTAATGTTTTTGCTTCAAGGCATGCTTGTCTCAATATCGTGGATGTCTTTCTGGCTTGATCCTCGAGCATCTCCGGCACGAATCACCCTTACGATCACCAGTTTGCTCACTTTAACCACAATGAGTAATGGCGCTCGGCAGGACCTACCACAGGTGTTAAATTGGAAAAAAAATATTGTTTCCTTATTAATTAGGACCTGTTTCCAGGTCTCGTATATCAAAGCCCTAGATATCTGGTTGACGTTTTCACAAGCGCTCATATTCTTAGTATTACTCGAATACGCATTCGTTAGCTTCTATGTAACAAAGCGGGTTTTCGACTGTCCTCATCGAACATCCTACTTCCAGGCGCAGAATATGTCCAATAATAATCATAAGTTTGTGAGTTCATGATTTTTGTAAAACACTGTTTAATTGTCGTTTTTGCCTAGATTCTCTGTAAATTGATGCATTGTGATATTATCTCATTAGCCTTTAGTGGAGTAAAGAAAGGAAATGGTGTAGAATGTCCAAATTTTTGGGTTGTTTCTCATATATAATACAACCTTTCAGGACGATGAGCGGATTCACATAGAAGACGTTGAATCGTATCCATTTGCTGTGAGTTCGAATTTTGTTAACGAAGCTTAGCTGGTTTGCCTTTCCCCTCTTTCGCTTAATCCTCCTCTCAGTGCTCTTTCAACCCTCTGTATCATCTATTTCACAAGGGTTCAACGTTCCTCAATACAGTCCTAACAGTCTTTCACTTCAATGACTATATCCTGTGTGTGTGCATCACTGTCGGGTTGTTTCAGCGTGACGAATCGCCACCACCTGCACCAAGACCAGAAAACGGAAAAGCAAAATCTGGATATTCACTCACCAAAGGCCTTACGGCGTGTATGAACCATACAGCGGTTCGTTGTTGTGTTTCTGATGGCACTTTCTTGAGTGTGCTTTTAGATATTATTTGTTATAGC